GGGGGGGGGGGGGGGGGGGGGGGGGGGGGGGAGGTCAAACCCAAAACTCTCTGTGGGAGGAGTATAACTAGATATTTTCTGGAAAAACAAAATGCATGTCAACTGTGCCCCTGGTCCTTTATTAAAGTGAGTGGACACAGTTTCCAGTTCTACTTGACCACTGAATAAAGAGACTCCGGTCTCAATCTGAAGTAAAATAACTGCAAATACCAGTGAGATCATAAGTTATGATTATTTCATCTTACACTGCAGTCTTTTGCTGCAGGTGTCTGTGAAAAGATTACTTCAGATGAGACTAACATTATATGCATGCAGGACTGGAAATTAACAGCAAGACGAAAGTTTGACTGATCAAATCCCCAATCAGGTTAGACAAGGTCCAATGCCCAGTCTTTATTTCCAGCCATGTTTTGAGTTTGGTTGTTCAAGAGGTTGCACACTTACTGAAGCAGACATTTATGCAATGCAGTTCTTTCAAAATTAAAATTCACTGTTGGCTTTTTGGCACCCTTTATCTCTCAGTTGAACTGCTAAACTCAAAACAGTTTTCTTTTTTTTGGAGACTTATAGAACTAGGTGCGATTTTTCAGGCTTTGTCAACTGTATTGTTTTGAATGGCTGTGCAATTTTTTTTAGGTTACTTCCAACCTTCAAGGGCACAAAAAAATTAACAGCTTTTTCTTTTATTTGACAAAATTTAAGTCGGTCATTTTACCTAAAGGTTACAAAAGAAAAATACTAAAAATCTCAAAAAGCAGCTGAGATATTTTGAAAAAATGTGTCGTCAAATAAAGTTAATAAACCGGGAAGGTGTCATAATTGCTTAAATAGATGAAACTGCCAGGGGAAATTTGTGTAGCAAGCACTCACTTTGGAGCTCGTATTTCATGTCCTTTGGTATTGTTTTTATCAAGCATTTGTTCTTTTGTCTTTGGCTACTTTGCCCATTAAAGTGTCTTTCTTGCACATGCATGAAGGTGGTCCGCTGATCAGTAAAGCCCGCAATTCCACATGAATAGGACCACAAATGTTTTCTTTTTTGCTGTTGTTGTTAGCAGCATAAGTGGTAGATGAAAAGTTCCACAAATACCCGAAGGCGAGACTGCCCAAGTAGAAAGAACAAAGAAAACCTGAAAAGTAGTTTTTCCTGCAGTTTTTTAAGAATGATAGCTGGCCTGATTGATAGCAACATCAACATCACAATTTTCGTTTCAGCACAATGGTTTTAAAGAATGTTTTTCCTTTGAAATTGCCTGAAGGATGGATGTTTTTGAAAGAAAAAATAACTGATAATGCAAATGGCTAACTAAACTTGGTGGAAACAAAGCTTCAAGACGTAGGCCTCACGCAACCATGTTTGTTTTGATTTTTGCAAACTTCAATCTCGCAACCCCTCACTGACAGGTGATTGCATGATGCCTTGCGCTGAAGTGTACGCTAGAGCCCAGGCATCTCATGCAATTATTACTGTTTTGAGCCACCTTAAATATGGTGTTTGAAATAAGCCTTTCCCAAGCCTTTCATCCTATCAACAAAATAATAACTCCCACAGACTTTACAGAGCCCACAAAGAATTGGCGAGAACAAAAGGATAAAAAAAAACTTATTAAACAAAAAAGACTGCGAGTGGAAAGTAAACAATGACATATTAAAAACAAGTGCTAGCTTAATAATTATTATTCTTAATTGGTAATTTTGATTTGCACTGCTTCAAACAATTAATGAATACAGCATTTTTTGTTCTTTTAAGCATTGATCAGCAATTTTATCCTTAAACTATATTTGTAAAATTATCATGATGAACTGCTCAAGCCTGTGCAACATTGCACACCCTTAAGAGAAGTCTGAGGCCTTTCGTTATTTCACTCTGCTTCTGATCCTGCTGGTATGAAATATACTACATTTAAAATATAAACAGATTGCTGAAAGAGTAATTGGGTTCCAAAACATTTTAGTGTTATCTCTTTCACCTAAGCTTGGGTTTCTTTATATCTTTAGGGAGGAGAAGAACTATGAACTGAAAATCAAGATGACCAACACTTGAGTCAAACTGTTGACATTTTTGTAAATTTTAATTTGTTTTCAAAGAAAAGAAAATGTTAAAATCCATACATTAATGAATGTAAATGAATAATTATAAATTTTCTTGATTTCATGACCATTGGACAAAAAGCAAAAATTGTTTGACAGATTACACTGAGCAATTTTTTGTTACACTTTTAGTTTAGTTGGCAATTTTTGCATATGTATATATACACTGTTTATTGGAACATAAGATGTATAAAGTTCTATGTACAAACAATAAAAGGATTATTGATTACATTATGCTGCAAATATTAAGTTTAATAATAGGAATAAGACAGTAAGAGTGAAAGGGCTAGCCTGTTACAAGAGACTTACTTTAAAACATACAAGGGACAAGAACTGGTGAAATCAACAAATCACATTGCAAGTACATTGTATTCACTTTAAAAACAAACATTAATGACTGGGAAGTCCACTGGGAGTCCACCTGTCATACAGAAACAGTGCCGGAAATAATTTTTCTTCTTTAACAGGACATGTGTCCTTTCAAATCTTCATTTTGGTTGGACATCTCATCAATTCGACCGGACTTTAATTTGCATAATTGATTAGCATAATTAATTAGCATAATACAATTTGTTAGCTGTAAAGATTTTCAATTCAAATCCTTCAAAACTAAATTTGATTTATTTATCATTTATGATTAACTAAATGAGTTTATCTACTAGATGACTGTACCGATCTCTCCTCATTATCTCCTGGTTATATGTTCTTCAAGCAAACCTAGTTTTCTATTGAATGCTACCAGACACAGTCAGCTTTGGGACCGTGCTGACCTGAACACTAGTTTCTCTCTTTGAAAAAAGTTCACCTCAACCTGAAATCAAAGTACATCTAGAAATCCGCTTCAATCTTCGCAGTGTTTTGCTTTATTTTCAATCGTTTACCGAAAAACCTGTTTTGGAGTGTGCTTTTGCTCATCCTGTGATATTATTTGTATCATATTTGGTTAAAAACAGTATGGACGGGGTCTCTGTGATGTGCAAATTAGCTATGGACTGGTATCTAATGCGCATGTGCGCCAGCTGACTGTGTCCCTTTAAAGCAGGAGCCCATCACTAGGAGTGTGAAACTACCCCAGTTATTCCTGTCCTGGCGTTTTCACAGGCCGATCTATTTTTAGTTTGAATTTACCGCGAATTCAGACCCCTGTAGGACTCTAGGGTGCGTACATAAAATGCTAACAGCATATTCCAATGCACGTAATGCATAATAGGGCGATTTCTGAAGAGTACTTTATTTGGCAAGTACAGGAAAGATGAGCACTTCTGCTTTATGATATGGCAGAAGCCTATTATGGGCTCCTGGATATGGCTCAAATTATCAGAGTCATTAGGGCCCAAAATTAAAACAATTCTTGAGTAGCCATTTGGCGACTAAGTGATAAAACTCAAGTAGGAATTTTATTCAGAAAAGAATTCAAACATAAAATCTGTGAAGAAAAAAATTCCAACACCTTTTTGGTAGGCTCAATTTCCGCCGCTTTCTTGAGTCCGGTCTATGTTCCTCCCCAAGAAGAGATGGCTGGACGCATCAGCGGCAAAGCATGTCTGTAACGTAAATTCATAATTTAATTCTTGCGGCACTTCAGGTGGCAAGAAATGTCACCTGATGACAATCATAGGCAGACCCACATGACGCCTACGGCTCGTGAAATTTGTGGCATTTTCGCCACTTCTCCTTTTAATTTTGGCTCTCCAACCTATTTTGTTTCACATTATTGTTGCGGAAGGGCATTACATGCTGTGCTCTANCCACTTCTTTTAACTTTGGCTCTCCAACCTATTTTGTTTCACATTATTGTTGCGGAAGGGCATTACATGCTGTGCTCTGTAGAAGTAGATGGTGTAGCAACTGTCATGTCAAAGGTCACACATATGTTGTACGGTGTGCATGGTGTTAACACCATGTTTATGTTTTGCTAGTTTAGTTTGCTTTGGCTCATATAAAAATTTAATTTTGTCTGGCTTCGCCAAAGACTGGTGTTGCCCTTCCCTTCAAGAAGACTAACATACAATTTGACTGAGTGTTTTATTTCTTGAGATCGATGTTCACGTTTATCCCTCTCTTTGTTGACTTTGTTCGTTATCTGACATTCTGGCACCACATGATTCAAATAGAGATTCTAACACATAAGTCTGTTGACGATTTTGCGTGTTGCAAATACCACTATTGTTTGGATCTGGCAATATTTCATCACTTTACGGTATTTGGTTAAATGTCCCACTGGTGCGATCGCACTTCAAATCGCACAACTTCTTTGCTACTGTGAGAAAGCTAATTTATGCAGCCTGCTCGATTCAGGCAGGCAGATTTCTTATTGGTTGAAATTGCCAATGCCAAGACCACGAGTCCAGTCGTGAGTTCGGGGGAGGAGGTCACGCTCCTTTCCCAAACAGCGGCTGGTAATTGAGCCTACCTTTTTGGTCGCTAATTTTGTGTACATAGCTAATGTAATATCTATGAAGGATTCATGTATTCCAAGAGACACCGTCGGTAGGCATACATGACGTACTCAATGCTCAAGGGTTTGCAATGCACTATAGGACAATTTCAAACATGATCAGCCATTTGCAAGTGTTCTGATGTGAGGGAATCCTCTGTAGCAAAGAAAAAGGATATATTGCTCTCTTTTCTTATGTTGAATATCATAGAAGCAAAGATCTTTCACTATGTATTTCTGGAAGGACATAGTGTTTGAGAAAATAACTGTTATTGATTGTCACAACAGAGAAACGTAGTCGCCATTATGGTAGCCGGGTAACCCGAAAACACTGACCCCCGGTCCGCAGACCCCCACTACGGACCGGGTCTGCGGACTACCTA